TCCTCAACATGTGAAAAGGTTTCAGTAATTCCATGACACTTAGTTTAACAACATTTTCATACTAACAAAAATGTTCAACAGAGTTTGGCCCCACATTGGCCATCATGGCTCTCGTGTGAAAAGGTGGCGTCATTGCAGAGGCCAAGAGCTAGGCTATTTATACACTTCAAGATTTACAACGAGTGGTGTTTATCTTTGCGCACATTATGTGACAACTTTTACCCAACCACTGTGTCAGGATGTTATAATTCCACTGAAATGAATGTTGCCCAAATGTTCCTTGCTCCTTTTGAAGTCCATCTTTTATACTGCAATCAAGACGGTGGCCATTTTTGAACTGTGAACCACTGGGCACAGACACCAATTCAATGTCTATTCCACATTGGTTCAACGTAATTTCATTGAAATTATGTGGAAACAACATTGATTCAACCAGTGTGTTCCCAGTGAGGTGTGTCTGTCTTTGTGTCCTCATACCGTACATGGCCAGCCCTGAGAGAATGCAGTCATCTCAAACTTCAGCATCTGAAACTAGCAACGTCCGGTGGTTACCTCCTTGGCTGGCTGGGATGGCCAAGGCCCAGGGGATGTTTTGGTTGGTCTGTTTACTGGTTTGTCTGGGTTGTTTTTGGCAGTCTCATTTTCGATATTGGCTCACCCCTGTTCTTTCTAAAGCCTAATCTACACTGAAACTCCTGCATTCCCCTCTGCTATTCCCCTTTCCCAAGTCCCACTGGCTCTGCAACTGCCTGTTGGACCCCTGGCTTTCCTCTCCTCTCCGCCCCCCCTCCTTCCTCCCTGTCGGTGCTGTGCGTGACAGTAGCTCACTGAGAAGTGGAAATTAGACTAGTAAACAATGATTAGCTCCAGAGCTGGGGCAGCCTGGTCTACCGTGGGTCCTGTCTCCACGCGCCTGCTGCCAGAGCAAAACAACATGAAGCCCTCCAAGCCCCTTCCAACCCCTCTTCTCCCCACCCCAGCAGAGTCAGCTTGGGGTCAGGGCCAAACTTTCACAGCCAGGTTACAGGAGATAATCACAGGCAAACACGGCAGCCACACGCAAAAAGCACACACATGAGCCCCCACCTGCCGTAAACCTGGCTCTAATTAAAGGTGATGGGGATGCGAGTGGCCACATGTTTATGAAGGAGAGCAGGAGGAGGAGGAGGGCAGTTAGGGTGTAGTGTTACACACACAGAATAATTCCCCTATAGCGAGAGAACAACGAGACGAGCGAGATATAGTATTCCAAGTGAAGCAGTGTCTTCTGTTCTGAGACATTGCTGTGTCTGGTTAACCGAGGAATCATGCTGGATGCTTTCGTGTTTTCAGGAACACCACATTTCTGCAGACAACATAGGGAGAGGGAAGTGAACAGCTTCTAGACATAGTTATGAAGTTGGATAACTACCAATAACAGAAAAGAGAGACCAATTTCATTTTCAAGTACAGAGGGTCAGACAAAACTTTACTTCTTGAAGGTGCAATATGCAAAATTACAGATTGTGACTTCAATTGTAGCCAAACTATGGAATAGAGATGTCTTTTCACATTTGCTCTAAGAGCCTAGATGTATTTCTCTCAACCAATTAGAAGAAACAACCAATTAAACCTAGTAGTTAAACATACACATACAGAGCATGTTTAATGTTCCTTGTTCCTTTCTTTTCACCTTCAACATTACTGTACTTCAGTCATACCTTAGAATAATAATACATATTTTGGCTTATGTCAAATACATGTCAAAAGGAACATTAGCTTAACATTGCTAATTATTCCACAGTATGTGACATGTATTCAGGGTTGGGGTGTAACTGATTGCATGTAACTGTAATCAGTTATGTTACCAGCAAGAATATTGTAATCAGTTTACAGATACATTTGAAAAACTAGATGATTACTTATTGGATTACTTTTCAATTCAGAAAGGATGTTTGCGGAAAAAAAATACCTTTCACCATGTTTTCTCAATGACATTCAATTCACCATTGAAAAAAGGTGCAAGTTTGTTCCACCTGAGCAAGTCTGACCACAAGTCAGAGACCAGTATGATGACACACCAAATGCATTTGATGGATCCTTTTTGTCTTCTTCTAATGCCTCTTAAGGGGAAAGTAACTGAAATTAATCAGATTATGTTTCTGAACTTGGGTAATCCAAAAGTTACTTTACTGATTACAATTCTGGACAGGTAACTAGTAACGGATTACATTTAGAAAGTAACCTTCCCAACCCTGGATGTAATGTGGACTCAACAGGGACCACAGGGATTGCTAGACTTTCTACCGCCTTTTCTTTGCAGGTCTCGTTTTTAATAAAAACTCAGCTAAAATCATACTTTAATCAACTTAAGTAAGGCTTGGCCAGATTGATCTCTTAAAGATATTCTCCGGTACCTTTGTATACTTTTTAGCCAGTAGTTCTGAAAGTAGCGCTCAGGAGCCAAAAGGGGTCCCTGAATAACGCGTACTACGTCACAAATGTGCAGATATGTGCACCACGTCATTGCTGTCGCTCTCGTTCTACTGTGTGTGCGTCTTGCTAGTTGTCACTCAAATGGAGAGGGGCTGAAGCTCATTGGCTGAAATTCTAATTGCTAGGGGGCTGACCCACGTGACGGTAAATGTATGGAAAATGCCACCACACACCTTCCAGAAAACAATCGCTTTCAAACTGGCTAATTGAGGTAATAGATTATGCATGTATGAACTACACATTGACACATCCAGCCCAAAGTGGGAGGTTTAAAAATACTTAGTAGTCACCAAAGTACCGGAGCATGTCTTGAATTATTATCATATAACCTTAGCTGTGAAAATAGGGTATGCAATGATTTAAATAACCTAGACCAAAACATAGAAAAAGTTTATCACATTTAAAAAAAAATCTTTAACACCCATAGCGCGAATTCCCCCTCCCCACTTTCCCATTTCCTCATTTCCAAATAATGAGTGACTGTGCTGGAGTTTTACTGAAGTCTCTGTCCCCCTGACTCACATTTCGGTAAATGTTAGTGCCTTCAATTAGGGTCATTACCTCCCTGCAAATATAAACTTCACAGTTGGTGAGAAAACTAGAAACCCAAATGTCTTCTTTGACACTGAGGGAGGAAAAAGATTTGCCTCTGGAACTAAAATTAGACTTTGATTTCGATAAAGAATCAACTGTACTTTGAAACGCATGCCAAGGACATGGCTCAGGTTGACCATGATGCATGCTACCAGGCATGAAAGCATGATATACTGTATCTCAGGTAACAAAACCTTCATCTTTAGAGTGTCACAATTTTGCCTGCACCTTTTGAGGGACCAGAATGTAAATCTACCCTTTTGATCTCCTGAAAAGTTTCCTCCTAACTCTTTGGAGCTCAAGAGCCACTTCAGAGGGCACCTGAGGTGTAATGTTATATTATGTAAAGTAAGCTGCCATTGAATGGCTCCAAATGTAAATGCTTGAAGAAATGCTGTAGCATGAGACCTGCTGAAAATGTGAATATGAATTTTTCATGCATTTTTCTATGCTAAGATATTGTCGTTTAGGTTAAGAGGTGTGTTGTATAAGCACACTAATGTAAGGCAAGTTAGTCTATTTACCTGTATTGCAAATGTAACGTTGCATTTATCATTTTTAAATAACCTGAGAGTTTTACACAGGCAGAGTGGTAGTTCTTCATAATGGCACAATAAACAGTCTATAAACAGTCTATAAACAATATTTCAATCCACACATATTTTAGTTGCATCCATGTAAACCATGGGTCATTTTCAAATGATATCACTAGACAGGTGTGTAAGAGCAACCCAATACCTTGTCACGATGGGAGTTAATTCTGTGGGTTAATTTAACTTAAACACTTTTGATGGGTGCCTATCCCTAGTTCAATAAGCTAAGGTAATTTAGGCTATTCAAGAAAGGAAATTCAGACAATGATGAAGATCTAACATAATTGTATTATTACAAATATTATTTGGTTCATCTTCTGCACAATATTATAGAAAGCCCTCTGACTCGGGTAGGCTCGTAAGCAAATTTCATTGAACTTCAGAGTTCGATTTGAAGCGCGACATAGTTGAGCGATTGAAAATACTATCACAAAGATATACAACTGGCTATATGCAGTGCGCGCACTAAAAGAATGCAAGATACAACAATGCTTTGCATAGTACCTGAAAAGTAGTAAAATGTACTGAAAACCCATGCTTTTTAAACACATTTATTAGGCTACATGGCACCATGATAACATTCATATTTTTATGAGAGAGACTAAACAGAGTTTAAGTTAGACTATTTATGGAGAGAATAGAATGTCCATGCAGACGCGCACAAAAGCATCCATATACGTCATCGACAATACGAGAAACAAATCGTATGCTATACGCTTTTCTGTATCAAAATGCGCCGTTGAATCTTCAAAGTATAAGAAAGTATAACAATTTAAAATGTGATCGTTCTGTCACTATTAGAGTTAGTAGAATAATCGTCACTATCCTCCTAAACATGTCACTAGTTACTGGAGCTCACCTCCTGGGACAGTGGTTGCTCTTGCGAGCTCTTGTTCCCAGTGCGCGGCGCGCGTCGAGGTCCAACAGCAGAAAGATAATATATAGTGGGGTCTCCAGGGCTACCACAATGGGAGGAGTATGAAAATAATGCTGAGCCCTGCCCACCGACTGCAAACATATAAGACACCCTGCTGAAGCAAAACTAGTTAAAGTCTTACATCTTGCTGAAAAGAGTGACTAGAGAACAACTTCACCATAACTCCCAAAGCTTCATCTGAGATCATTTCCCAAGAAGTACTGAGACTGTCACCATGGTCTCAGCAGGATACTTTGAACTTTAATCTAACTGAACTAGTTTTATTTTACATGGATTCATTAAAATTGAACATCACAAAATCACTTTAAAAAGTGAGCTGGACTAAAGTGGAACTTTTTTGTAGTGTTTTCTTCTATTCACAATATCTGTCTCCAGGGGTAGGTAATAAATCATCTAGAACCATGGCACTGCTGGACACAGAGTTTGAGGTGAAGGGCAGCAGCATCATCAGGGAGTGGAGTGGACAGGTCCAGCCAGCGCTGGTCGTCTCCTTGGTTTTCCTCTTCTGTCTAGAAGCCTGTCTGTGGGTCAGGAATCTCAGACTCAAGAGAAGGTTGCCAGGACCTTTTGCCTGGCCAGTGGTGGGCAATGCCATGCAGCTGGGGCAGATGCCTCATATCACCTTCTCCAAGCTGGCAAAGAAGTACGGCAACGTGTATCAGATAAGACTGGGCTGCAACAACATAGTGGTGCTCAATGGAGACACAGCAATACGAGAAGCCTTGGTTCAACACAGCACAGAGTTTGCAGGCAGACCCAACTTTGTGTCTTTTCGGATGATTTCAGGAGGCAGGAGCATGACATTCACGAACTACAGCAAACAGTGGAAAATGCACCGGAGAATTGCACAATCTACCATTAGAGCTTTCTCCTCAGCAAACAGCCAGACCAAGAAAGCATTTGAGCAGCATGTTTTAGGAGAATCTATGGATCTTGTGCAGGTATTTCTGAGAATGAGTGCAGAAGCACGATATTTTAATCCCGCTCATGAATTTACAGTAGCTGCTGCAAATGTAATCTGTGCCCTGTGCTTTGGAAAACGTTATGGCCATGATGACATTGAGTTTAGAACTCTCCTAGGCAGAATGGACAAGTTTGGAGAGACGGTGGGGGCTGGCAGCTTGGTGGATGTCATGCCCTGGCTTCAGAATTTCCCAAATCCTGTCCGCAGCGTCTACCAGAATTTCAAACGCATAAATGAGGAGTTTTTTGCCTTTGTGAAAGACAAAGTGGTGCAGCACAGAGAAACCTTCAACCCTGATGTGACGCGTGACATGAGTGATGCTATCATTAACGTGATCGAGCACGGAAAGGACAGTGGACTGACCAAAGACTTCACAGAAGGAACAGTCACAGACCTTATTGGTGCCGGCCAAGACACAATGTCAACCGTTTTACAATGGATTCTGCTGCTTTTGATCAAATACCCCAACATCCAAACCAAACTGCAGGAGCAGATTGACAAAGTGGTAGGCCGTGACAGGCTGCCCTGTATTGAGGACAAAGCCAGCCTGGCTTACCTAGATGCTGTTATCTATGAGACCATGCGCTACACCAGCTTTGTACCCCTCACCATCCCCCACTCCACCACCTCAGATGTCACCATCGAAGGCTTCCACATCCCCAAAGACACAGTGGTCTTCATCAACCAGTGGTCTGTCAACCACGACCCTTTAAAGTGGAAGGACCCACATCTCTTTGACCCTTCACGGTTCCTAGATGAAAATGGTGCCCTTGACAAGGACCTAACTAACAGCGTCATGATCTTCTCCACTGGTAAGAGGCGATGTATTGGCGACCAGATCGCCAAGGTGGAAATCTTTTTATTTACAGCCATCTTGCTTCATCAGTGTACCTTTGAGAGCAACCCCTCAGAGGCCCTGACCCTTGACTGTTCCTATGGGCTCGCACTGAAGCCCCTGCACTACACCATCACAACCAAACTCAGGGGGAAGCTGCTCGGTCTGGTATCACCTGCCTAAAAATCTCATCCCAATATTGTGACTCAAGGCCAGCAAAAACTAAAAGTTTGCCAAGCAATTATATTTTACAGTGAGTATTAGTAAACATGCACTGAATGCTGTTGTTGAGTGTAATATTTCATATTTCATATTTAATTAATATCTGAACACAATTTAATATGTTTGCAGTGTTGTTGATACAGGATTGAAAGTATGATTACAGTGATAGAAGTTTGCTAGGTATAGCTATATTTCCTGTTGGGGGCCAGGGGACAGGTCATGCGGTCAATGAAGATGAACAGGTTCTCAAACTATGTACTTGATCATATTCTTTAAGGAAGTTTTACATACATTTTGAGTTTTGAGTGTACTTCATATATAGTATTCAGCATGTTACGTATGAAAATATGTGCAGGAAACTAGAATATTCCTCAACAGTCAATGGAAGGTTATATCACAATATAATATGCTTGTGAGTGTTCGTGAATGTTGTAGTCAAACCTGAAGGACCACAGTTTGTTGCCTTGAGGACTTTTTGGATTTCTCTCATCAACATTACATTTACATTTTAGCCATTTAGCAGACGCTCTTATCCAGAGCGACTTACAGTTTAGTGAGTGCATACATTTTTCATACTGGCCCCCCGTGGGAAACGAACCCACAACCCTGGCATTGCAAGCGCCATGCTCTACCAACTGAGTTACAGGGGATGTATCAATGTATGGTGATGTATCAATGTATTTATCCTTTTCACATAAAGCTGTCACAAATTTTTACAAATATATGTATTTCAGGTATGAACAATATTTGTTAAGTATTATAATCAAATCCACTATCCACTGTACACCATGCATATCAGTACATTGAATACTGTTGAAAGATGACAGATGCTGACAAACTGCTAAAGGAAAATCAAGTAATGTATTTGCCATAGCCTACCGCGTGAAAACAATTCAGCGTTAACAGCACTGTTGCCTCTGTGCAACTTCAAGCTCAGTGTCTCCAACAATGTTTAGAGGTGTTTCAATGGAGAGGTGGGTTTCTACTGGAGTCTAGAAGTGTGGTACTGATAATGCTGATGAACTTGTGGGAGAGGATCAATTCCAAACACTGACCACATTGATCTTCTCAGAAATCTACTTTACTGAACAGGCACTCCAGCTACACAACCCATCCCTTCATATCCAAACCAACTGTCATTAAATACAATATTACTACACAAATTAATGGAGTTTTAAAGTTTTGATGTATTTTCAAAAAATGCATGTCTGTTTACATCTCAAGGCTCTGAAAGCTATGGATGTAATTTCCCCTTTGTCAAAGAACATGTGTTCAGGAATTTATTAAATATTGTTCAGAATCTCTGCCTCTCTCAAACCAAGAAACTCAACTACAGCATGTGTTGAATGTCCAGGCAAGGATTCATGATTGAAAATATGTTGTTTTGTTTGTTTGTTTGTTTTATATGATTGAAAAATAAGCTACATCTGGAATTAATAAAGCAATGTTTAAAACAATCAGGGGCTGATAGTGACATTCTGCTTCTCTCTCGTTTGTCATTGATTAACTCATTAAGCACATAATCGGAAGGATTGCATTCTCCTGTCCATGTGTTGTTCTTTGTAGTAACACACTCCATGTACAGTGCAATGAATATGAGGTGGTGCATAACACATGACAAAGTAAAGATTATTATGGGAATCCACACTCTAAGGTACATTGTATAATACAATAAACTTAATATTGTGACAAGCCTAAGAGCTATATTATCTCATTTACTATGTATAAAAGGACCATTACGCTAACAAAAGCTCTGGTAAATGTATACTTTTATAAAACATATAAAAGTGTATTGTTTGTTTCTGTTCTGTGTCCGGATGCAAAACCCAGAGCTTTCATAGTCATATCTTGGATTCTATTCCTAGTGGTGTTTAGAGTTAACAGAACATTGGCTGAAAATAACAGATTAAAAAAAATTAAATCATGTTATTAAAAATGCGTACATTAGTTTACAATCCACAGAAGAAAGCTCAACTGAATATTTTAAAGTTACAAGCAGTCCTTCCTTAGCCTGAGTGGTTCACTGAGACTTTTGCTTTGCTGTATTTCAGTCTAGAATCACTCCTACATACATAAAAGTCATTTAGCAGACGCTCTTATCCAGATAAATTAGGGTTAAGTGCCTTGCTCAATGGCACATCAATAGATTTTTCACATAATCAACTCAGGGATTCAAACCAGCAACCTTTTGGTTACTGGCCAACGTGCTTAACCGCTAACCTACCTGCCGCCTTAGAGAGGTAATCAAGCGATTTCCACAATCCAGAATATAACCGGACCAATCAGTGTCCCCTGAGTTTAGTTATGGTGATTTTAGCTAAGGTGGTCTTTGTGACTGAAATCTTGAAACTTAACTACTACACCATTTCTAGAAACCATATAAAATTCTCCCCTGTGGTACCTGTATTGTGTTTAAAGGCAGTGCAGCCCAATCTTTCAGGTCCTCTGGCCTGTTAAATCTAAACTCCTTCTGTTTTAGCCCTTGGCTGGCAGGCCTGACTGGTTGCTGCTTTCCTCCTTGTCTTACCGTGGTGTTGAGTGTTAGGTATAAGAAAGAACTGACAGTAGGCTGGAACGAGTGCCTCGGTGCTAAAAGAAATGAATAGGAGTTTTAATGCCTGCTCTGTGGTCACAATGGGAGGGGAGAGATAATACAAAACCTGAGTCTGTGACCCCTCCCACTAAGGAGATATATAAGGGAGTGTCAAGGCCGAAATCTTCATTCCTTTAATATGGTCATCTGAAGACGGACACCAACTGCACCACTGCTACCCACTCAACCTGATCGAGCCCATTCACAAGCCAGCACGGAAGAGGAGGAGACAGAGACTGTAGTGTGTAAGTGGTGCTGAAAACCTTTGTTGTCTCGATTCATTTTCTACATTTTCGGATCATAATGTAGGACTGACCATACTTAAAAACAGACTCAATTTTATTTTTTATTTTTTTGGAATTGAGGTGAGAGGAGGACCCATTTAAATTATCCAGTTACCAGGAATAGTGTTCAACAAAGAAAAAGTGTAATCTCTCTCAGAATTTGAAGAATTGGGCAACAGAAATAGAACGTCTTAGAATCATGGCACTGCTGGACACAGAGTTTGAGGTGAAGGGCAGCAGCATCATCAGGGAGTGGAGTGGACAGGTCCAGCCAGCGCTGGTCATCTCCTTGGTTTTCCTCTTCTGTCTGGAAGCCTGTCTGTGGGTCAGGAATCTCAGACTCAAGAGAAGGTTGCCAGGACCCTTTGCCTGGCCAGTGGTGGGCAATGCCATGCAGCTGGGGCAGATGCCTCATATCACCTTCTTCAAGCTGGCAAAGAAGTACGGCAACGTGTATCAGATAAGACTGGGCTGCAACAACATAGTGGTGCTCAATGGAGACACAGCAATACGAGAAGCCTTGGTTCAACACAGCACAGAGTTTGCAGGCAGACCCAACTTTGTGTCTTTTCAGTCAGTGTCTGGTGGTAACAGCATGACATTCACTAACTACAGCAAACAGTGGAGGACGCACCGGAAGATCGCTCAGACCACCATTAGAGCTTTCTCTTCTGCCAACAGCCAAACCAAAAAAGCATTTGAGGAGCACGTTGTGGCAGAGGCCACTGAGCTCATTGAAGCTTTTCTCAAACTCAGTGCTGAGGGAGAGTTTTTCAACCCTGCTCATGAACTGACTGTAGCTGCTGCAAATGTAATCTGTGCCCTCTGCTTTGGAAAACGTTATGGACATGATGACATTGAGTTTAGAACCCTTCTGGGCAGCGTGGACAAGTTTGGAGAGACGGTGGGGGCTGGCAGCTTGGTGGATGTCATGCCCTGGCTTCAGTATTTCCCAAATCCTGTCCGCAGTGTCTACCAGAGCTTCAAAGACCTCAATAAAGAGTTTTTCACCTTTGTGAGAGACAAGGTTGTGGAGCACAGGGAGACATTTGACCCTGAAGTGACCCGGGACATGAGTGATGCCATTATTGGAGTCATTGACAAGGCAGACAGTGATACCGGGTTGACGGAGGCTCACACAGAAGGGACAGTGTCTGATCTGATTGGTGCAGGACTGGATACTGTGTCCACCTGCCTTCATTGGATGCTCCTTTTATTGGTGAAATACCCCAACATCCAAACCAAACTGCAGGAGCAGATTGACAAAGTGGTAGGCCGTGACAGGCTGCCCTGTATTGAGGACAAAGCCAGCCTGGCTTACCTAGATGCTGTTATCTATGAGACCATGCGCTACACCAGCTTTGTACCCCTCACCATCCCCCACTCCACCACCTCAGATGTCACCATCGAAGGCTTCCACATCCCCAAAGACACAGTGGTCTTCATCAACCAGTGGTCTGTCAACCACGACCCTTTAAAGTGGAAGGACCCACATCTCTTTGACCCTTCACGGTTCCTAGATGAAAACAGTGCCCTTGACAAGGATCTGACCAACAGTGTGATGATATTCTCAGCAGGAAAGAGGCGATGTATCGGTGACCAGATCGCCAAAGTGGAGGTCTTTTTATTTTCTGCTATTTTGATTCACCAGTGCACCTTTGAAAATAATCCAAATCAGGACCTCTCCTTAGACTGCTCCTATGGGTTAACACTGAAGCCCCTGAACTACAACATCTCTGCCAAACTCAGAGGAGAATTACTTACTGGGCCATAAAATCTTGTTCTTTGTGTTTTCAAACAGAGCACCCACTAATGGAGTGCAGTAATCCAATGTAATATAAAAGGTAGGTACACACCAGTGAATGTTTATGCTTTAATAGGTACCAACCTAAGATTTATATTAATACTTTACTATTATTATCATTAGCTAATCTGATTGTTGATTGTATAAATCACTTTTTGTGACAGATAACTGAATCATATTTGTATTTCTATAATTTTATTGTACAGGCTATCTATAGGACATTTCTTACATTTGGAATGTAGCAATTCATGTTGCAAAATATCCCTCCTAAATTCTCATAGAAATTGGAAACACATGATATTTGAATTTTATGGACAATTTCACTCCATCAAAGTATTGTGTTGCAGTATAATTTAATCTACCAGATAAATGAATACGAAAATAACCTAGAGATGTGTGCAGATTGCTACACAAGTGTTATGTAATAATTAAAATGACTATGATGTGGCAGGCCAAAGCCACAGTTTAGAATACATCTTAAGTATCTATTGTTATATAGGATGGTATTTAGTTTGGCCACCCCAAATTGGCATACAAACTGGTGGTCATGAATCCATTTTACTGTAAGTGCTTTGTTGTTGCAGTGATGTGGAGAAATCATGTGTTGTGTTGCCCATGTTGAGATATCTGAAGAATTATACATCCTCTGACCCATTCAGATATGTATTCATGGTGTTTGTATCTGCATAAGTACATACTGTAATAACAATTATACATTTTCAGAAGTTTCGGTACACTTGCATAATTCCATTGTATTATGATTATGATACATGTACTGTATGAAATCCATAGTGCCTGAGCTCCATGCAATAAATCCTATACTCCTTCTCAGCCTTGTCTGTGCCATATGTCAGTCTTAGGAGAGCACAACTGCTAGGAACAAGACAATGCAGGGAGGTCAAAGAGGTAATAATAGATCACGATGTCGAGTCTGTGTGTTGCCATGAAAGATTGATGCAGACCTCGGGTGTAAGCAGCACACATGCTCTGCCTCCAGACCCCAACACCCTGGGTCTGGTAGGGCACATGCAGTCACAGCCCCAGCCACAGGCCCCACTCATCAATATTTCACCCAGGGCACTCTGTACTTGGGCTGTAATCCCTATTTAACCCACACACTCTGATTCAGGAGTAGCCAGGTCACCCGTGATACAGGTCAGTATTCGACGTCCATCCCTGTCTGAGGACGTTGAGAGATGACATGGAAATTTGACGTTTGGAACAACTTCGAAATTTGACATTTGAGAAACATGGATGAACGTCTAATTCTGACGTGAGACTGTGAGAGCTGGTAGTTCAAGAGAGTGCCATCTACTGCATCTGCCATCCATCTCACTGCCATCCTAAAGATAACTTTGAATGTAGCTATACTGTATATGTTGCTGTGCAACCTCAAATGTACTGTAGATATACATGTGGATGTAAAATATAGAACATTTCTTGAAAGACTAGGATAGAAACGCAGTATATTTGCTCTTATATCTCCAGGTCTCTCATATTGGATGGGTGCCTTTTCCCAACAGCAATTTTAAGATCTCTCCACAGGTGTTCAATGGGATTAAGATCTGGACTCATTGCTGGCCACTTCAGAACTCTCCAGCGCTTTGTTGCCATCCATTTCTGGGTGCTTTTTGAAGTATGTTTGGGGTCATTGTCCTGCTGGAAGACCCATGATCTCGGACGCAAACCCAGCTTTCTGACACTGGGCCCTACATTGCGACCCAAAATCCTTTGGTAATCCTCAGATTTCATGATGCCTTGCACACAGTCAAGGCACCCAGTGCCAGAGGCAGCAAAACAACCCCAAAACATCTTTGAACCTCCACCATATTTGACTGTAGGTACTGTGTTCTTTTCTTTGAAGGCTTCATTACATTTTCGGTAAACAGTAGAACGATGTGCTTTACCAAAAAGCTCTATCTTGGTCTCATCTGTCCATAAGACGTTCTCCCAGAAGGAATTTGGCTTACTCATGTACATTTTGGCAAACTGTAGTCTTGCTTTTTTATGTCTCTGTGTCAGCAGTGGGGTCCTCCTGGGTCTCCTGCCATAGCGTTTCATTTCATTCAAATTTCGACGTATAGTTCGCGCTGACACTGATGCACCCTGAGCCTGCAGGACAGCTTGAATTTCTTTGGAACTTGTTTGGGGCTGCTTATCCACCATCCGGACTATCCTGCGTTGCAACCTTTCATCAATTTTTCTCTTCCGTCCACGTCCAGGGAGATTAGCTACAGTGCCATGGGTTGCAAACTTCTTGATCATGTTGCGCACTGTGGACAAAGGAACATCTAGATCTCTGGAGATGGACTTGTAACCTTGAGATTGTTGATATTTTTCCACAATTTTGGTTCTCAAGTCCTCAGACAGTTCTCTTTTCCTCTTTCTGTTCTCCATGCTTAGTGTGGCACACACAGAAACACAATGCAAAGACTGAGTCAACTTCTCTCCTTTTTATCTGCTTTCAGGTGTGATTTTTAGAGAGACAGACAGGAAATTACTCTAGGAAAATGTTTAGAGTATGTATGAGAATTAGAAAACTCTTGGACGTCTTCTATTTCTTCTCCGTAACTACTACTGTAACTCTGTAGGCCATAGTGATTCTTCTCACCTCCTTACAGCTACAAAATACTGATAGACATAAATATACATCTTAGTCATTTAGCAGACGCTCTTATCGCATACATTTTCATACTGGCATCCCGTGGGAAACGAACCCACAACCCTGGCATTGCAAGCGCCATGCTCTACCGACTGAGCTACAGGTGACTATCTACATTTCACGTACAAGTTGTTACAGATGTAGGATCTTAATTTGATCACTTTTGTTGCTGAGAGGTTTCCTGCACCGCAGGAAATGCAAACTTGTAGTGTATTCAAGGTTTAAAAAGGCTTCTAAAGTTGTAATTTCCACTTTAAAATGTCAGACTTGATGAAAAATGTATCAACCCCTACAAAAAAAGGACAAATTATAATCCACATAATAATTAAAATGTCCTGTTGCTTCAGGATTATTTTCCAGGTGTAGCAAACTGGCTCAAATTAAGATCCTATACAGTGCATTCGGAAAGTATTCATTTACATGTACATTTTAGTCATTTAGCAGACGCTCTTATCCAGAGCGACTTACAGTCAGTGAGTGCATGCATTTTTTTATACTGGCCCCTTGACATTTTCCACATTGTTACGTTACAGCCCAATTCTAAAATGGATTAAATAAATAAAAATCCTCATCAATCTACACACAATACCCCATAATGACAAAGCAAAAACAGGGTTTTAGAAATATTTGCAAATGTATTTTTAAAAAAAATTGAATTATTTACATAAGTATTCAGACCCTTTGCTATGAGACTCGAAATTGAGCTCCGGTGCATCCTGTTTCCATTGATCATCCTTGAGATGTTTCTACAACTTGATTGGAGTCCACCTATGGTAAATTAAATTGATTGGACATGATTTGGAAAGGCACACACCTGTCTATATAATGTCCCACAGTTGACAGTGCATGTCAGAGCAAAAAACAAACCATGAGATCGAAGGAATTGTCCGTAGAGCTCCAAGACAGGATTGTGTTGAGGATCGGATCTGGAAGGGTACCAAAACATTTCTGCAGTATTAAAGGTCCCCAAGAAACAGTGGTCTCCATTATTTTTAAACGTAAGAAGTTTGGAACCACCAAGACTGTCACGCCCTGACTTATGGGACTCTAGTATGTTGAGTCAGGGTGTGGAGATCTATGTCATTATTTCTATGTTCACATTCTAGGTTTGTGTTTCTATGTTTGGCCAGGTGTGATTCCCAATCAGAGGCAGCTGTCGCTCGTTGTCTCTGATTGGGGGTCATACTTAAGTAGCTTGTTTGGTATCATTAGTTGTGGGATCTTGTTCCATGAGTAGGCTTGTTTTGTGTTTAGCCTTAGGACTTTACGTTTCGTTGGTTTGTTGTTTTGTTAGTGTGTTTATCGGTGAAATAAACATGTACGCATTTCACGCTGCGCCTTGGTCTGACCCGTCCTTCAACGTCCGTGACAGAAGATCCCACCAAACATGGACCAAGCAGCGTGCCCAGGAGCAAACACCCGGGACACAGGTGGGGAAGATTTGGTCTTGGGAGGAGATATTTGCGGGGAAAGGACCCTGGGCGAAGAAGGAAGCCCAGGCAAGAGAGGAGCAACGGCAACACAGAAGGCGCCGGCCGAGGAGGAAGCCCGAGAGGTAGCCCCAATAATGTTTTTTGGGGGGGCTAAAGGAGTGGTCGGGGAGCGAGAGAGAAGAGCCCCGACCACTGCACCCGGTGGGTTTCCAGATTGAGTCCCTACGACCATGGGAAGAAGAGTGGGAACAGTTTTATACTGAGGAGTCGGAGGATGACGACGACGATGAGTTTCTGTTCCCTATCTCGTGGGGGCTCCCGGAGGAGTCCTCACTGGAGAAGGAGTGCAGAGAGAGAGAGAAGGATCGGATCTGCAGGGTAAGAGAGAAGGCCACCACATTACGGGGGCTGATAGCAAGAATAGAGCGGGAGAGCTCCATTCAAGAGGAGGCACTGCAGGAGGCTCGTAGGGAAAAGGAGGAAGTAGATGCACGGAGAGAGGAGCTGGTTAGGCAACATAAGGAGTGTGGGTTAATAGAGGAACCCATGTATGCGGAGATACGCACTGTATCGCCAGTGCGCGTGCACAGCCCAGTGCGTTCTGTGCCAGCGTCCCGCACGTGCCGTGCGAAAGTGGGAAGCCAGCCAGGACGGGTTGTGCCGGCTCAACGCTCCTGGTCTCCAGTGCGCCTCCAAGGTCCAGTACAGTATATCCTGCTCCGGTTCTACGCACTGTGTCACCAGTGCACCTTACCAGTCCTGTACGGCTTGTACCTGCTCCTCTCACCAAGCCAGTGGTGTGTGTCCCCAGTCCGGCCCGGCCCGTTTCTGCTCCTCGCACCAGGCCAGTGGTGCGTGTTCCCAGTCCGGTACGG